CCCCCCCCCGCTTTTGTTCCCTTTGCTACAAAGTGTAAGGTACAGATGTTGATGATCTGATGAGGGAGGCTGAGGGGGGGTGGGGGGTGGGGGGTGAGGGAGTGAGTTTATTTTGAGGAGAGTGAGTTTATTTTGAGTGCTAGGAGTTGAGAAAAGGATTTGCCAAATTCCAAGGAGCAGCCACTCTAATACCAAGCGGGACCCACAGCCTTGGACACCTTGAGATAGATAGAAAAGGCTACTGGTTAGCAGAAAGAAACTATCAGAGTTTATACTATATTATACAGTGTATAAAGGGATACCCCATCACAAAAACAAATCTATAATACAGAATTACTGAACACATTTTTTTTCCATAGTCATGTTATTAGTAATTGCATGTGTCATGACAAAAACGGTTAGGTTCCAAAGTAAAAAAGCTTTTGCTTCCGGGTCCCACCTTGACAGCAACTTTGCTGATCCAGAGGTTTGGTGCGTGGATCCTGGGTGATGGGTAGTATGAAGCCAAGTCAAGTATTAGTTTAAAAAATGTGTGTTGCGGACCTTCATGTACCAGGCATTACTATAAAAGCCTCCCATTACCTTAACTCTTGAGGGGTTGATATTTAATAAAAACACAGATTCCTAAGCAAATACACCAAAGAGTTGGAGCTGCTTATTATTTTTCCTCCAGGTTTTTTGTTTGTTTTGTTTTGTTTGAGATTGATTCTCTGTGTAGCCCTGGCTGTCCAGGAACTCCCTGTAGATCAGGCTGGCCTGGAATTCAGAGACCCACCTGCCTCTACCTGGGATTAAAGGCATGCACCACCACTGCCAACTTTTACTCCAGTTTTTGATAGGTGCTTTTTTCATAAAGAACATATCACTTTATTGGCTGTCATTTTAAGATGTATCATTTAACACATCTTATATTGTTAAAACTTTTATTATAAATCTAAGTATGTAGAATATTTTCTCTTTTCATCCTAGAATTCTCTGCCCTAATGTGGTTTCAACACATCTGCACAAATATATTTGTCAGGTGCATTGACTAGTCAGTTATTAAAATGCTTTTAGTTTAAATCTGTTTATTTCCAATAACTAAACGCATATTTTATTGGTATGAACTTTTTAGGTTGATTCCAGTGTGGTTATACACTCACTTTCTTCCTTAATTTAGAATGTTAACTTATTTCTTGTTTTTTTTTGCTAAATATTTGAAAATATTTCACAGATGACTTTCATCAAGATATGTTTGTTCCATAGCCTCCCTCTTCTCACAGGCACTGAGAGCATCTCCATAGCCTGTTAAGCAACCAATATGTGTTAAATGTCTACATCTTACGGGAGGTGGTGGTTGGCTTTACTGAACAGGACAGTAGAAGACAGTGTCCTATCTGGCCAGTTGATTTTAATTCAGATGGAAAAACAACAATGTGTGCACAGCTATATTGTAAGGAACCTGGAGGTGATACTGATAATAAAAACAAAAATTCAGAGTCGGAAAAGAGTGCTTCCTGTTTCAGCCTTCAACTCTTACTCCTTGCTAGCCATGTGGCGCCCCATGGGGGATCTTAGTATCAGACCTCTTAGGGAGATCTTGTCCTAGGCATCAGAGAGTATCCAGGTTTAGTTAACATCTTAGCAGGTATTGTAATCTGCCTTACTATTACAGGAGGTGGCATTGATTAATCACTGAGCTCCTTGACAACTTTTTATAATGGAAAAACCCTCAGAAAATGCTTAACTCTGAGGACAGGTATACTCGGCGATATTGTATATGCCTAAAACTTCTTTGTTTCAGGCAGTCTGGAGCATGTGAACATACTCTGAGCCTTGATGAGTTCCAGTATGTGGTATATTATGCAGAGCATTCAGAGCAAATACTCCCTCTCAGAACGCCTGATCCGAACAATCGCTGCCATCCGCTCCTTCCCACATGACAACGTAGAGGACCTCATCAGAGGGGTGAGTGGCCCATTCTTGATAGAGCAGACCTTTGAAAGGGGAAGTGGGAGAATCCCTGCTAAACTGCCATAGGTGTTTGAGCTGCAGCCTTGATTTGAGCACACACTCCATGCTCATCAGTGTTAGCATGATCATTAAAATACGTGCTCCCTAACTTTTGTTTCATCTGCCTTTATGGCCTTGATGTTTTCCTTCATAAAATATATTCTAGATAACCCTTCTTGCATGTTTTTGGTTTTTTTAACCTGACAGGATATGGAGCATGCACATATGTGAAAGCCATGCAGCTCAAAGTCTTCTGCCCACGTGTTACGGAGGGTTTTAGGAGGCAAGCAAAGTAGGGGTCAGGTTTTAAATCCTTGGAGCTTTCCTTCAGACCTGGGCGATGGTGATTGCAGGGAGAGATTTCACTTTCCTGCTTGGTTACAACAGCTGCTAGTTTTAGTTCCATGGCAGACCCTGTGCCCTGAAGTGTGTAGTAATTACCGGTCAAGAGAATTAGAGACCTGAGAGAGACTCAGTGATGGAGAGTGGGCCCCATGTCAGGCGGCTCACGGCCACCTGTGACTGAATCTCCAGGGGCTCTGATGCCTCTTCGGACCTCTGCAGACACATGCACTCACGGGGAGAAACTCATGCAAGGATGGACACGCACACACGCACACACGCACGCACACGCACATGCATAATTAAAAGTAAGTCTCACTTCCTTTAAAAGGAAGGAAACACTTTCTCTGATCTCTAAGCACTGCTGCCAGTAACTCTGTTACATGACTAGTACCCTGGAAAGCTTCGGTACCCTTCCTCCTTTGAAGAGGAGAAGTTAGAGAGAGAGTAATGTTTTGGAAAATGTGACCATGTGGTTCCTCCACACTACATGGTTTAAAACAGCAACGTGCGGATCTTCTCTTTGGGTCAGTAGCACACAGGCGAAGGAAGGCGTGCCATAGCTCGTTCTCAGCGCAGTGGGGAGGGAAGTCTGGGCAGTGGGAACTTGTCTGTTCTCATTCCAGCTCTGCTGCTGGTGGGAATGGCTCACCTGAGCCAGACTAGGAGTAATGCTGAGACTCGGGCCACCTTGAAGAGTCTGTAAACACGCCATTAAGACAGCCTGATGGTTAGCGTCATTTGTTGAATTGTAAAAAGAGGCTGATAGTTCTGGCCTCAGGCTGGGACTCATTTTCATAACTTGCAGAGCACAGTGGCCATAGAAAGTGGGAGGCTGGGCCAGCTTTCCCACAGCTTTTACACATAAGGCCATGTCCTCAGAGGTGTCCGGGAGGGAGGGGCACTTTGGCAGGCTGTGTTGTGGAAAAATTTAATAGCTTCATCTGGAGAAATGACTTCCTTTTCTTCCTCTTCAATATTCCCTGGGTTTGAGTACTGGACTTCATTACTAGAAATAATTGGTACTTGGAGTTAAAGTATATTGAGGCTGAGGAGTGCCCCCCCCCCCCCCGCCCCCATCAAGTCCCTTCTGTGGCTTCTGAACTTCTTCCCACAGGGAGCAGATGTGAACTGCACCCACGGAACACTGAAGCCCCTGCACTGTGCCTGCATGGTGTCGGATGCCGACTGCGTGGAGTTACTGCTGGAAAAGGGGGCGGAGGTGAGTGACGTTTCCAACACTTCCACATTAGTGAGTCATAAAAACTCGACCGGGCGGTGGTGGCGCACGCCTTTAATGCCAGCACTCGGGAGGCAGAGGCAGGTGGATCTCTGTGAGTTCAAGGCCAGCCTGGGCTACCAAGTGAGTTCCAGAAAAGGCGCAAAGCTACACAGAGGAACCTTGTCTAGAAAAACC